GTCAGCAAGTGCTGTTATGGCAAAAGCATCCCAAAAGCAAAAGCATGCATCGCGTACCGAAAATGCAGGAAACTCTTGTACAACCCACTGGTCAAGAAGTGTTGTTATGGCAAAATCATCCCAAAGGCAAAAGCATGCGTCGCGTACCGAAAATGCGGCAAACTCTTGTACAATCCACTGGTCAACAAGTGCTGTTATGGTAAAATCATCCCCAAAGTAAAAGCATGCGTYGCGTACCGAAAATGCAGGAAACTCTTGTACAACCCACTGGTCAACAAGTGCTGTTATGGTAAAATCATCCCCAAAGTAAAAGCATGCGTCGCGTACCGAAAATGCGGCAAACTCTTGTACAATCCACTGGTCAACAAGTGCTGTTATGGTAAAATCATCCCAAAAGCAAAAGCATGCGTCGCGTACTGAAGATGCAGGAAACTCTTGTCCAATCCACTGGTCAACAAGTGCTGTCACGAGAGAAKTGTTTCTCAAAGTGCACAATGTGGTTGTTACAGTCAACAAGGATAAATTTAAAGGCGATATTTGGATAACGAAATAATGAACACGACTGACATAAGTTAATCTTAAAGCAAAGGGATAATTAATGTTCAAATTTAAGTTTGTATCTAGTTTTATTTTGCGTAATAAATGTGTAGGATAATTAGGAAGTCTGGAGGAAAAAGCCTGTCAAAGAATCTTGATAACTCTAAAGTCAATATAATTCAATAAAAACAGCAATCATACTAGGAAGAACTTTGATATAATGAAAAGATCTGAGTAAGGTTGATAACTTGTAGTCATTGTGATTGTTTATATGTTAAAACGCTAAGGAAAGTCACTAAAATCCAGAATAATTGAAAGTCAAAAATTAAAATAAATTGTAGCCCTTTTTATTAATCAGGTTTGTTGTCACTGGTCTCACTTAATTCATATTAATGACGTGATTATTGTAGTGCCTTTAACGAAGAACACTTTAAAGTGCAAATGAACCCTTCGACAATACTTTCAGTACT